TTTATATGTATTTCTATAAAGGATTATTTTCAGCAGCACTGTTTTCCATTAGTTAATCTCTCTCCTACAGAGTCTGATTCTTCAGTTTAAAAATCCAAGTCCTTGTGACAAATCACTTCTTTCAACTGCTGCCCATCCCTTCTGATTTCTGCTGTTTGTCTTCTCAGTCCTCTTCCGAAGGGCTCTTCTGGATATTTTGGGAAATGTTCTTTGACTGCTGAGTCTCATAACAAGTGCAGTTATTTATGTCTAATCATTTTTCCCAGTTCTAAAGTTTGTCACCCAATATCATTGCTGCAGGCACTGTGTGGTTTCCTGTGGGCACCTATCAGTTTATCACTGGAAAATAACGAATGGGCAAAGGGAGAGCGGGTAATGGCTGCAGCACGTATGGGGCTCACAGCACCGCATCAGGTACGTGAGAATTTTGACAGTGATTTGGAGAAGGATGGGAGCAGCAGTAGCTTGGTTTCACCAGGGTGAACTTCACTGATGGTTGAGGTGCAACAGCTTTGGCCTAAGGGCTGGCTGACGGGGTAATGTTAGGAAGCCAGGAGCTATCAATACCTACACATAGCTATGCAGGGCACTGAATAAATACCTGGCCGTTGCTCTCGGGTTGATAAAGCAGCTGGTGTTTCACCTCTGCTTTGGAAATGCTTCCTGTTTTTTTAGAGCCAGAGGTGGACGCATTGCTTCTGTGTTTGGGTTTCTGGTGTCAGTGATGGGCTCTGTCAGTTAGTGAGCTTTTGCAATCTTTTCTCGTTTCTCTGCAGTAGGGAGGTGGCTGGTGCAGTCTCCTTCCTCCTGATCTAGGGCTAGCCAACAGGGTGTTGCTACAGGTGAACCTTGCTCTTCACGTAGGTTGTATTCATATCATCCTGTGACTAGGCAACAGCCTGCACTGAATCTTCCAAACACTGCAGAGGAGATGAGATCTTAGATTTTCTGTTCTCTCAGTCCAATAGACTTAAAGAGACTGCTTTTGCTGCGTCTGTTTGATTTGCTGTGCCACTACCAGAAGTGACAGGTTTGAGGACTAATCTCTGCCCCCAGTGCCCAGGTTCAGACTGACCCTTGCAATTGACATGCACGGCAAGTATCTCAGCCAGACCCAGTTCCCCTCCACTGCTTTGTGTCTTATTCATTAGCATGCTCAGGATAAGAAAAGGCAATTAGAAATCAAAGACTGTTTAAATTGGTACACCAAAGGGACAAATGAGCTTGAAACATTGCCCAGACAACTGACTTTCATGGCCTGATCTGAAGGCTGTTCCGAGGGCTGGCCCGGAGCCTCCTCTGAAGAGCACCGGGTGGTGATGATACCTGTGGCACTGTTGCCTGTGAAACTGCTTTCTGTGCCAACGTTCTCCACACCTCTCCAACCTCACCCTTGGCCACGGTTTTGTGCGGTTTGAAGGCTGCTGGAAATAGTGCTGTCAGAGGTAAGCTGCTGAAGTGACATCCTTCGGCCTTTGGCTGTTGAACCTCTGGAGTTGTGTGGTTTGCTTCTGAAAGGTCTGCGGTGTCTCCAGGCTTATGTTCACTGTACAGGGAGACTTTGTTTTCTTGATGTGTGGTGGGGAGAAAGTCCACAGATCAAGGGTCTAAAGGCCTTTGCCTGCCAGGAGATGGTTTAAATTTTGATTGCCTTTATCTTACAGTGTGGCTTTTACCTGTAGGAGGCAGAAGATTAAGTGAGGAGGCATCTCTACCCAGATAGAGGACTGGTAATTCTGACCTGGTGTTCTTCATACCTTGAAGAAAATTCTGTCAGTTCACGTACTTTTCTGTTGGTTTTTGCCTCGACAGGATTAGACGGCGTGGAAGCAGATCTGGGCCAGATAGTGCTTGTTCATGGTCACATTGGTTTCAGGGCTTGAAATGTCTTGGTATTGTCCAGGAAGCCTCTTGTGGCTGCGGTGGGCTATGTAGGTCAGCGGTATCCAGCTAGACATGCATGTGCTAGAGAAATGAAAGTCTGCCCTACAGCAGCAGTCAGAGGACTCTGAAATGTCCACCCTGGTCAGCAAGTTCAACAGGCAGCAGTTGTCAGCAAAAGGCAGTGCAACAAACCTGCTGCCAGGAAGGCTGCAGCTGCTTTTATTTCTTGTGATCAGGGCCCCGATTTGGGGTGCTTTGATGGAGACAAAAATGGAAGTAATGAAACTTGGCTGATTTCAGCTTTTTTAAAGCTCCAAGAATTAGTCATCCTAGGCAAAAAGACATCAGTCAAATGTGACTCAGATCATCCTCCTCTCTCCCTGCGGGGAGTGTAAAAGAGTTGGGCTAACTTTGGCTTGTTGTCCAAGCAGGGCATCATTCCCACTTTGCAGATGTCTTCAAGTCCCGTGGTGTTCCCTGTGCTTATGGCTGGGAACGTCTGTGAGCTGGTGGTGTTCTCAGAGTGGGTTCCTTTTGTTTGTAATGCAGAAGAGGACTAGCAAAATCCAAGCCTAGGAACATTCGCAGCTGTAGGAGAAGTTTTTGCTGCAGGAGCAGAGGACTGGAGGCTGTCCAGTGGGTTTGTGTCCTACTCTTCTTGCCGTGGCACGGGGAGCAGCACGGAGGTGGCCGCTGGGTCTGCCCATGGCCCAGTTCACTGCTGCTTCTGCATGGGGAGCCCGTGGGTGGGTGCAGGCACCCAGTGAAGGAGAAGGAGAGAGCTCTGACTGTTCCTAGCATGGAAGTGGAGCTGCTGAGCAGCAGCCAGCAGGTATGTTACCCCAGGGTGGGGGCAGAGGTGGGAGCTGAGACAGGGAGGGGTTGGGAGAAAGGAGACCGCTGTCCTGCAGGGGGGCTGGGACTGAAGGGGATGGGAGGAGGACAAGGACACTCAGCAGGGAGGAAGGGACGTGGAGGTGGGAATGCTACCTCAGAAGGCATCTGGGGATGACTAGGAAGTGCCCCCCTGCTGCTAGAAAGCTTGGGGCTGGGCCATGAGAAACCTGTCATCCCAGCCCTGGCATTGTCTGGAGCTGGGCTCTCTGCGCTGTCTCTGTCTGAAAGTACCCAGAGTTGATGTGATTCCTCTCGGACGCTGAGCAGTTTGGTTAGCCTAAGTCAATTCAACAAGAAGCACTGTGTGTCAGTCCTCTGTATGAACCAACCTTTTTTTTTTTTAATGACTTCTTTGGCAGAAAAAAAAAAAGTCCTAATGGAAAATTGCCTCTTTCCCCCAAACAGAATTCTCTTTCAGCTCTTCCCTATGGAAAATTCCCAGCCAGCTCCAATCCTAAAGCATGATGCCAGAAAATACCTAGCAGGCTTTAGCAGAGGGTGTCTTTAGGGTATAATGTACCATTTAATCCTAACTAGGGCACCATAGCTACATGAGTTTGAGAACATGAGCCGGCACTCAGCATCCCCAACTCAACATGCATTAGGCAATCCATCAAAAACATACATGTGGAACGGGGAAAACAGTTACAGTCATTTTTCAGTTTTGAAAGCTTAGTTCTACCCTGAGAAAGAAACTGGCAAAATGTTGTCAGATGTGCCATTTCTGCTTCCTCTTACTGAATTCCAAATGTGATGTGTTTGCTTTATAAATAAAAAAGATGCATTTTCTTAGCAGATAGTTTCACCAACAACCAATCTGAAAGAGAAAAAAGGTTCTTCCTTTTATAAAAAGAATGGTGGAGAGAGAATTATTTGGCATGTTTACAGCTACAACAGACTTGAATGTTGAAGTTGGTTCTATTGATGCTCAAGAAATAATAGTCTCCAGTTCTCCCACAGCTCTGCTGCTGCTTTTCTACTCAGAAAAGAGACCAGCTGACTGAGAAAGTACTGTTGCCTTCAGCAGCAAAAAGGATTTGGGCTTCAAGCCTGCCTCAAAAGGTAACTTAAAGCCTATTCATGGAAACGTTGCCTGATTTAGCAGACATCCTGGGAAAAATTCAGGCTTCTGGACAGGAAACAGCATGGATTGGCAGTGGTAAACAGTATCACATTGAGAAGGGAAGGAGAGAGAGGTAGGTGAAGTGCTTCAAGATGTGGTAGAACGTTAGTGACCTTCCATGATTTGTTGATGGGTCTTTTTGTCTAGACTATGCAGACTTGCCTTTTAGAACTTAACTCGCAGGCTTTAATCAGGTATCTCAAACTTGTGTCCTGACACTGGAGAACTTTTCCTCTTCTAGTTTCAATGTGAAGTGCTGGCTTGCCTGCCTGCCTTTGACAGGAGCTGAGCAAGGAGCAGCTCTGGTTCAGACATGGGTGCCTGATGTCATGGTCCGGTGCTTGGTTTTTAGCAGCAGCCCGACGCTGCTACATCAGCACAGCTTACGGGCAGAACTTCAGTTTTGAAACTTAGTATGGGGATGGAAGTTAGCTTATAGCGTTTCTTGGAACCTGAGAACAGGCCAAGCCTTACAGAGGCAGTGTCTCATTGATGCTTACTGAAATCCCAACAGCACGGGAGTTCTCACTGGATGCACAAAATGGTTGCTCCTTTTCCTTAAGAGTGACTTCTTCCAGACATGCCTAGAGAGATTGTCTACAACCAAAATGCAACAGATACTCAGTCACAGACCCATCAATGCAAATTACTGTCAAAGGCATGAAAAGGCATTTTATTTATCACCAATTTCACTACAGGTATCAAGGACAGGTTTCCTATGCCCAAAAATAGCTGTGAATTTTTGGAGGCCATTAACATGGAACCGTAGAATATCGTGAGTTAGAAAGGGCCTACAGGGACTGAGTCCAAAAACCACCCGGAGACCAAAACCACACAGAATCCAAACCCTATGTCCAAGAGTGTTGTCCAAACACTTCTTGAATGCCAGCAGGCTCAGTGCCATGCCCACTGCCCTGGGGAGCCTGTCCCAGTGCCCGACCACCCTCTGGGTGCAGAACCTGTCCCTAACTCCCAGCCTGACCCTCCCCTGTCCCAGCTCCATGCCATTCCCTTGGGTCCTGTCACTGTCCCCAGACAGCAGAGCTCAGTGCCTGCCCCTCTGCTCCCCTCAGGAGGGAGCTGCAGGCCGCCACCATTAGCTCACCCTTAGCAATGTAGTGATACTTTTTTTTTTTTTTCCAATTTGAAACTTCTGTTGCAGCCAGACTAGTTTTGGTTTAGTTTGGTTTTTGAATCCTCAGATTTGTTGACTTCCATTTGCAGCCTTGAGAATCCGATGCAAGATGGACCAATAACCAAACGTCCTTGACAGTGTGCTTGACCCTGTCTTGTGCATATCTTTGCTGTTTGCCTCAGAGCCTTGCTTCTAGGCAAGACTTGAAAATTTAATGTAAAAAAGAAGTAGGAACAACAGATTGTTTTTAGATTAAGAAAGAACTACTAAAAAAAAAAAAAACAACAAAACAAACACAACAAAACAAAACAAAGAAGCCAACCATAAAAACAACCTTTCGTGTCCTCTATGCATTATGAAAAGGGGAAAAAAAAGTCCAAAGGTTCTGTGCCCCCTTTCTTTGTTGGTCTCCTTTGATGATTCTTTCAAGCGGTTGTATGTTGTTGGTTTCTTTTAGGTTTTCTCTGGTGTGGGACTTCCCTGCAAAGAAAGTTTCTCTTGTTTTTCATTATGTAAAATATGAAGCTTTATATTGCTGCCTTTCACATGCCATTATAAGCTTCTCTTGCAGTTTGAAACAAAAGGCACATTCTTGCTGGCTTTCCTTGTTGTTGCATCTCATTTTTGAGAGTGATAAAGATGGAAGTCAAAATGAATGGCAGCATTTAGGATCCATTTTGTTTCTCAGGGCTACAGAGTAAGAAGCATGCAGCATTTCACCGTTCCTGCAGAAAAGACCAACCAAATGCTTAATGAAGGAAGTCTCGTTTCTGAACAGTTAACCATGGTTCCAGTCTCATAATGGTAAGATTTCCACTGCTGTTGGCAGTTCTGAAATGTTTGGTTAGTGCGTTATCTTTTCTGAATATATAAATACAAAGATGCACTTAAAAAGGTAGAAAGTAATAGGAAGTTAAGTCATGCAGAGTGATATGCAAGCCCCAAATGTACCTTATCTCGTACCTCTGCACTGAGTGCAGTATTGCATAGTCACAAGTGCCGTGTATTTTCTCTAGCACGGTGATGCATTTTAATTAAATTCACTGTTTAAAATTCAGTTATTCATTAAAGGTACCCAGTTATCCAGAAAGACATACTGACCTTGGGTGAAGACCTTCTGGCTCAGGAGGACTGATAGGGCTATAAGTTGAAAATACAACGTTTCATAATTAATAATAAAAAAAAAAAAAAAAAAAGGGTTCCTTGGCCAGCTAACCATGTGGATGCATACAGTTTACCACCATCATTTTATCTGAAAATGGCAAAAAGACACTGTTCTTCGATACCAGCAAACCAGCCAGGGCATGTGTGTCGTGCTGCTTCTCTTCCACGGGCTTTGGACTTTGCTGCTGCTGGCCAGGCCAGGGCTGAGTCTCAGTCCCTCTCCTTTGACCACAGTGGGGGCCTGTGGGTCTTTTTGGTTTGCGGTTCACCTCTGAAGGGCCTTTTTGTGGTGGAGACCTGCAGATATAAAAGCTTCTCAAACTTCAGTCTGCTTTTATCCACAACAAAGCATGTGCAGTTCTCATCAAACAATAAAACATTGATTCATTTGTGCCCTTATTTTTTGTTTTCCACTGCTCAAGTGTTCTCTGTGCTGAGGTTGAATCTTTCAGGGCCCAGCAGCTGTTTGCCAGCAGATGTCTTCTTTGCTGAAACAGAGTCCCTGTTTTCTCCTAGTGCCTGTTGTCCTTGTCTAGCCTCAGTGTAAAGTAACCTTTGCTGTAGAAATAGGCTTCTTGTTCCTCTCATCTGCCCAAGGTTCCCTTGTCTTTGAATTTTGTCTTTTTTCTTCTCAGATCTAGGACTACTTTGGCCTTGTTTTCCTCTTGCAGTGTTATCCCATCGTCAGCCACTGAGATAAAGCCACTTTTCTTGCCTATCAGGAAGAGAGTTATTCTTTCATTCTCCCAAATTATGATTGACTTGGCCTCTGATGCTCTTTGCTCAACTTATGCATAGGTAAGCAGGTAAAAGACACTGTGGTCTTAACATAAGAAACACGGGGCAATAGGCAGTGAAAGATGGTCAAAAGAAAAGGAAGCAAACAGATTTCAGACAAATAAATTGGATTGAAGAGTTTTCCTGAACTACTGAAGTGTCAGTGACGCTGTAAGAGCTTACTCTACCTGTGAAAATTTAAGCTGCAGTTCAAAATCCATGTATGCGTTGGTAAGGGTAAAGGTTTGAAAAAGTATTTTTTTTTTTTGTCAAGACAGCATAATCTCTTACCATCTAGGAAAGCGTGATCAAAGAAACACTGTCTTTGGGGGTTTCAAGTACGTGAGCTGGGCGAGTGAAGTGAGTGATGGTTAAAGGTCAGCACAATGTTGATAAGAGGTATTGAAAGCGTGAAAGAACCACAGAGGACCAATTTCAGTTCCTGTATCATTACAGCAGGTGATGTATGAAGTTGATAGAATAGCTGAACAAAGCAAACCACAATGAAGACAGGATATTTAAAGCAAAATGCAGAAATAAATGAGTCATGCCCTTTTATTAAAGTGGAGGGAAATGCATATCTACCTCAGTTAATTTCTTAGTGAGATATAAAGGCAGCCTTTAACGAAATGAAAAAATCCCAGTTCCACTCCATTCCATTTAACCCAATCAACCAAAATCCCCTTACACTGTGGAAGCTACTGATAATGTAGTATTACCAAAAAATCAGTATTTGTTTGTCAGGAGACTCGGGTTTATCCTTTCTTTGAATCAAAGCGATTCAAAGAAAGTATATGATGCTTGTAAGTATCATATGAAAGTATATGGTGCTTGGTCGGAAACAAACACATCTGTTCTCACAAGTATATCGAACATCCAGAGTTAAACAGCAGGAGCGAAACCATGCAGTGTCTGTCACTGAGAGCAAGTTCTCAGCCAGATGCAGTGCTGTCTGAAGACACCCAACCTCTCACCAAGGCGTGGCACAGGAGGGCTGATGCATTTATTAATGCATTAATGCATTTTCCAAGAGATTACTGCTGATCTATACTACAGGCCCTCTCAAATTGCCTCTTTGCTCACGAGAATCTTTGCCTTTTATGCAAGAATTTGCTTTTATGTAAGTTCTGTTGCTGCTTCCTACTCTTATCAGTAAATTAGGTTGCACATGTTGGATGCCTACACTGCCCAGCTCTCACACAGGTGATGCCCTCTGAAACAGTCCGAAACAACACAGGCTGATGCTGTCAGGAGAGCTCAGTCCTCGTGGAGGTCGTCCATGTGGTCTGTTACTGTTTTGTCTGTTGGTAGGAAGATAAAGGTCTTGCAAGAAATGGAAGTCTAATAATGTGCTCTCTGTGTGTGGAGGGGTAGGTTCATGTTGACATCATTAGTGCCTGGTCACCTAGGCGATGGATCTTGCTGCCATAGTAACCCGAAGGCTGCATTACTCATCAAATATGAATTTTAACAAACAGGAGTGTTTTGAGGTGTTTGTATCTTCTGTCTCTTGTAACTGTCTGCTGCCCTCTTAAAATGTTTACAGGAACTATAAAATAAGACTCTTAAGTAAAGGTGTTTGTTGCAAACATGCCCTGAAAAAGACCTGAAATGTATATGCCTACCCACCAGACTTACACTAGAGATTTTTGAAGAAAGGTGATGCTATTGCTTATTGTTGGCCTTTTGAGGCCAACACCTCTTGCTTTTCCCCTGCTAGGGAAGCCGATATTTTAGTTTGTATCAGGGGCGTGTGAGCCAACTCAATGTACATCTTTAGGCATTCCCATGGATCCATCATATACTTGTGCCAACATCATACCCGCAGCCATGTGCCAGGGGCATGTCAGGAACGTGGATGTTCTGTGGTTGGCTTGGGGTAGGTCGTGGGACACTAACTTCTTTTGTGACTTAAAAGTGGTTTAAATACAAGAGGTGCTTCCTGCTTGCAGCCTAGTACGTTCATCCTGGGATGCAGTATTAGGTGCTGCTGGGGGCCAGGCTTTCTTGCACTCAGAACCACCAGGTTCGTTTGAGATCTGAGAGAGGTGATAAATAACAAGCCGCAAAACACAGATTGGCATATCAGCTCAGAAGAGTACCATTTTTTTCTTTTAAGTGACTTGTATATTTAAATTGCCTATTGCCAGTAGTCGCACAGTGTACGTCCTCCACTACCCACAGTGTCTCATCTATTTAATTTGGACAATAAAGATAGTAGAAGATGTTTAGATTCTTATATAGAGGTACTTAACGTAAGAGATCTTTAGGTTCCTCATGGCAGAGTGGGATGGGACAAAGGGAGTATGTTCTGTTGACTCTTGGGGGACAAGCTGACATGGCTGACAGACCAGATTTTCTGCTCTTTGTAAGATTTTATAGGGATTTAGTATAAATCTGAAAGAATACCAATGAAATCAGAACCCTGTGTGATTAAAAACTCTTCTGCCAACTTCCTGTCCCACTTATCCAGAGCACTCTAGGCTAACTGTGAAGACAGCAGGGCCTGCGTGTGCACCAAGGACAGCAAGACAAATCCCCGTGTAAATGGGGAGCTGTGGGATAGGGCAGCCCAGTTATCATCAGCAGATCTGTGCAAATACTGCTTGCCAGGAGGCTAACTGTAGAATCATGCTTGAATTGATCAAAAGTGTGCTCTGATGTCCTCTGCAGTAAGGAATTTTCAACAGCTCCTGGCACAGTCAATTGATGTGGTTGTGCAGCTGTTGATGCACCTCTTTTAGATGTTTTGAGAAATCCTGAGAAAAATGTATGTTAGTGGTGCTTCAGCTGTAACAAACCCAAACATATTTCCCCTGGACGTTAATGAGACCCTATAAATTTTCTCCTGACCAGCCTCCTCACTGGCAGAACAGGGACTAGCTGTGTCCGCACAATCTGCTAGCCAGTACTTTCCTAGGTTTAAGACTAAATTCACAAACCTCGTGAATAGGTGAAATTGTGGAGAGGGATGCAATTTAATGGGCCTTGAAGACCGAAACACAGGGAAATGGAGGCTGCTGCTGGAGGGTGTTCCATACATAAAGGCATCTGGGTTTGCTACCTATACGCTACAAAGAAAGAGTGGGCCGAGAAACAGATTGCAGCATAGCTTTGGGGCATCTGTTTGTATTCATTTGGGTTGCCTTTGCTCCTGGGAAGAAAGGTGTGAAGGGGTGTATGGGGACAAGAAAAGGGTGTTCAGAGAGCTTGCTTTAGCAGCAGGCTATCTGGCCTGTGTAATGGGGGTAATGTAATACAGCTGGGTTAGAGCTAATCTAATTATATTTTTGTTGCTTATCCATTGGCACTATTGCCTCCTAATTGTGGCATCCAGCTGACCTCATGGATCAGTCACTTCTAATCAGTGGACAGCTGCCCTGCATGTCGTGTGAGATTAAGCCAGTTTTAGAAGAAATGAAAGTGTGAGGTGTGTGTGAGAGAGGTTTCATAGCAACCTGTTCTTCTAAATGTTTTACATGTATAATTAAATAATCCTTTGTCAGTCCCTTACAAGGCAAATGCCTGCTATAGCAGACAGAATTTGGTGACTGCTGGCAAGTTGGCTGAAGTTGAGAGTCCTGGAACAACATCCTTCACGGCTGAGGTCTGCAAGGGGCTCAGCTCTCAATTCCTGGTCTGTAAAATCGTGAGGCTCAGACACTGCAGATATGTTCATGAAACTGGAGCACTGCTGTGTGTGTGTACCGTGTGCTGTAAATAGGAGTGAGTAACTACAAACCTTCTTTTTTCCCCAAAGGAAAACCAGCTGCTTTGCCTTAATCCCTTGGAAGATAAACCCAACTTCCATGTCAGCTGAATTTGATCGTAACTTTAATCTTAAAATCGTCTAGGATAGTAAATAACAGAAATAAGGGAAGAGGGGGCAACTGTAATAGGTGGGAATAAATAACGTTTCTCGCCTGTATTGAGTTGCTTATATTTTTGTAGAACTGAAGCAACAGAAAGCTGAAGGTTCCTAGACCAGGTGTTTGCTTTCAGTGTCTTTAACACAACGATCGTTCTCATCACTGGCTGCAGTGACCACATGGAGTTCAGGATCTTGAGAGGAGGAATCGGGGCAAAAAGCAGGATTGCGACCCTGGATTTCAGGAGAGCAAACTTTGGCCTCTTCAGGGATCTACTTGGAAGAATTCCATGGGTTAGGGCCCTGGAAGGAAGGGGGGGTCCAAGACAGCTGGTCAGTATCCAAGTATCACTTCCTCTGTGCTCAGGATCGGTGCATCCCTATGAATAAGAAGGCAAGCAAAGGGGGCAGAAGACCTGCATGGACGAACAGGGAGCTCCTGGTAAACCTCAGACAGGATAAAGAAGCTTACAGCATGTGGAAAAAGGGACAGGCCACATGGGAGGAATATAGGGATACTGTCAGAGTATGCAAAGATGCCACAAGCAAGGCCAAGGCCCAGTTGGAATCAAATCTGGCAAGGGATATCAAGGACAACAAGAAGGGCTTCTTCAAATATATCAGTAGAAGAAGGAAGACTGGGGAAAATGTTGGCCCACTGCTGAATGGGACGGGTGCCCTGGTGACAAAGGATACGAGAAGGCAGAGGTGCTGAATGTGTTTTTTGCTTTAGTCTTTACTGCTAAGATCAGCCCTCAGGAATCTCAGACCCTGGAGACAAGAGGAAGTCTGGAGAGAGGAGGACTTTCCCTTGGTCGAAGAGGATTGGGTCAGAGATCATCTAAACAAACCTGGCATCCACAAATCCATGGGCCCCGATGGACTGCACCCATGGGTGCTGAGGCCTCTCTCCAGCATCTCTGAAAGGTCGTGGAGAACTGCAGAGGTGCCTGAGGACCGGGAGAGAGCCAAGGTCACTCCAGCCTTCAAATGGGGCAAGAAGGAGGACCCAGCAACTACAGGCCAGTAACTGGGTCGGCAGTTGGCTGGATGGCAGAGCTCGGGGGTTGTGCTCGGTGATGGCCTGGTTGGAGGCCTGTATCTGGCAGTGTCCGCCAGGGGTCAGTGCTGTGCCCAGCGGTGTCCAATTCACTCATCGACAACCTAGAGAGAGAATTTTTTGCGGATTTTTCTCACAACCCTCAGCAAGTTTGCTGGTGGCACAGAGCTGGGAGGAGCGGCTGAACCCCCCGAGACCTGTGCTGCCATTCAGAGGGACCTTGACAGGCTGTAGGGTTGGGCCGAGGGGAACCTCATGAAATTCAACAAGGGCAAGTTGCAGGGTCCTGCACCTCGGGAGGAATAACCCCAAGCACCAGCACAGGCTGGGGCTGAGCTGCTGGAGAGCAGCTCTGCAGAGAGGGACCTGGGGGTCCTGGTGGGCAGCAGGCTGACCAGGAGCCAGCAATGTGGCCTTGGGGCCAAGAAGGCCAGTGGTATCCTGGGGTGCGTTTGGAAGAGTGTTATCGGCAGGTTGAGGGATGTGAGCCTGCCCCTCTCCTTAGCCCTGGGGAGGCCACATCTGTAGCACTGTGTCCAGTTCTGGGCTCACCAGTACTAGAGGGACACAGAACTACTGGAGTGAGTTCAGAGGAGAGCTATGAAGATGATTAGAGGGCTGGTGCATGTCTCATACGTGGACAAGCATGAGAGAACTTGTCCTGTTCAGCCTAGAAAAGAAAACTGAGGGGAGACCTCATTAATGTATATAAATACCTGAGGGGAGGGTGTCGAGAGGATGGAGCTGGTCTCTTTTCAGTTGTGCCCAGTGACAGGTCGAGAGGCAGCGGGCACAAACTGAAGCACGGGAGGTTCCAGGCCAATATGAGGAGGCACTTCTGTACTGCGAGGTGACAGAGCACTGGGACAGGCTGCCCAGAGAGGTTGTGGAGTCTCCTTCTCTGGAGATATTCAAACCCCACCTAGATGCCTGCCTGCACAGGATGCAGAGTGGTTTTGGGGAGTAGGCCAGGGTGAAGGTGGAGCTGCTGAGGCCACGCTGAGTGCTGTGCACAGGTAGCTGGCCTCAGGGTGAAGAGGCTGCTGAGCCAAGAGAAGTCAACGATCCTAGGTACAGAGGTCCACGCTCAGGGTTTGAACAAATGCTATTTTTGGTGAAGGTCCTCTTAGATCCCATCGTTGTCGCTGGGCCCTTCTGAACAGGAGCATTGCAATTTCTATATGTAGTAGAATTTGTTTCCTTTGGCTTTTATTTTATTTGGGCTGCAAAACAGAGGATACTTACACAGCAAAGGCTAGATCAATTTCTGCCATTTGCTGACTCCAAGTTTATTTGAATTTGTATAATAGGTGCCGATGCTATAAATAAAAGCGCCCCTGCCTCTTGCACTGAGAACTCTGTCAACCATGAAATACTGAGATTTGGTTAGGTGCTAATTATGTTAGGCGTATGTATAGGATGCTGCGTGTTGCTAGGAGGGACAGCTGATTCTTCCTGTGTGGTCCAATTTGCAGCAGGCTTGGGTATGACAAACCAAGGCAAGGGCAATTTCCCAAGTATCTGAACAAAAGGGTTATTCACTGCATTATCCCCCACAAAAGAGGGGAGAACGGAGGATGTCCAAGCAGTTGTTTGGCTTGGGTTCTCAGTGAGACGTTTTTGTTTGCATGTTCATCTAACATTGCTGGCCATGCTTTTGATATTCTTGCTTTTCCTCTTCTTTCTGGTGTGTATTTTCAGTACTGGGTTCAAAGGCAAGCAACCAAGAAGCACTATCAAATCTAAGGAACCACGTCCAAAACTAAAAAAATAATAACAATAAAAAAAATAGTGCTTGCTGTGCTTTGGGCAGTGACCTGGCACCAGGCACAAATTTCAGTAAAGATGAAAGAGACAAAGAGGTATGAAAGGAGATTCAGGCTCTTTCTTCACAGTCCTGCAGCTGTTTAATATTGAAGTCTCTATCACCTAGGGATTATGAATAGTATTACGGTGTCCTGTGATTCTTCATCCCTCTTGGGTTCAAAGTAATTTTCTAAGCATGTAACATGAAACCCTGAGTTGTTCATCAAGATCTGCTATTTGAAGAGACAGCAGACTTGTTTCAGAGGACATGGCTGTCAAAACACCACAGCACTTCTCTCTGAGCTCTGAAAAACAGTTCTACAGAGAACCCCTGCACAGAGGGCACCTTTTCTTGCCTTCTTCCCTGCCTAAAATCTTCCAGTGGTGATATTCAATGTCACACTCCTTTCTCTTCAGCACATCCTGCACTTGCCAGAAAGTGTTTTATTCAGGCTGAGCATGCTCGCTCACTCTTAGCAAGCCCTGAAGTAGAAACTGAGGATGGTGATACTGTTGTGCCTCATTTAGTTGTTGGCATGAAAGAAGAGGAAAACTGGGAGATAAGGAAAAAGAAAATAGGAATCGATCGGGCCAGACCATTCTGGTGGCTCAGCCTCATGTCTAATGCTCACTGAATTGAGCTAACTCCTTCGCTCGAGCTTTATGCATCTGATAGCTGTATGATGGTCTGGAGGGCAGGGAACATTTCTTTGGCTTGTGGTAAGTGCTCAGCTTGTGTCACAAAGGTAGAGAACTGACTGCTGTTGTCCTAGCAGGCTGGGAGCACGTGGGTAAGAGAACAGCCCCCAGCCCATGGTTTGCAGGCCAGCTGGCAGTGATTTGTACCAAGACTTGCAGATGGAGTGCCTTTGATCACAGTGTGCGTTACGAAGGAACATTTACCTGTACCTTCAGCTTTTTCCAGGCCTAATGACTTTGTGATATTAGTCCTTATGGCAAGGGGGCTATCCGCCAGCCTCCCAAAATTCCTTTTCACTCTTTCTTGACAGGTCCCTAGCAGGAAGGAGGAGGGGGCTCTGGTTCAATTTCTTGCTTCCAGAGAAGACACGTGCCCTCAGCTTTTCCACATCAGCTGGTCTTTTCAACATCAGACAAGCAGAACATTGCGAGCTTGCTCAAGTCCAGCTCTTGAATACGGGACTGGAAATGAGGTGGAGAAAGCAAAGGGAAAGCAAGAGCTCAGGTTACATCTTCTTTGTTTTTGGGGTCCGTCTTTGGGAACTGGGGAAGGGTAGAACTTCTTGGAGCTCAGCTCTGTAGCCCCCCAGCTGCCTTGTGCCACAGCACTACCTAAAGCTACTTCCATGCCTCTTATCTTAAACCAGTGTCTCCCCTGTGTTCCCTCTCTGGTACTTTTGCTTGTAGTCTTTATCCTAACACTTGCATTCAAACGTAAAGGTAAGAACTAGAGCCCTTCTGCTTCGTGGGCTTCCTCAGATTTTGGGCTTAGATCCTGCTCTTTTAACTAGTGCTTTCCCACCCACTCAAATGTCCTCCCTACCAGCCACAGCGTTTCCGGAAGGGGTACAAAGTACTCTGTGCAGGGTTTTTCAAGTGTTTTGAGCTGTAGACCCCCAACATGTTTCCAGTTAAATTGTGGACACCTCTGTAGAAAAACTCCCCCTATGACATAAAAAAATATAAATAAAATCATTTTAAACAGTTTTGGCAATCTTGTTGTTTCAGGTATGCTCCCTGCTTATCCTGTGACATAAAAATATAGATCAGGTATTTACAGTGCTGTCTGCAAGCCACTTTTTCACTGTCTCTCCCCACTTTTTCACATATATTTGTTGGGGGTCTGGGTGGGTGCAACAACAGGCAGCTGAATTTATCAATTGTATGTCTGGTCTCTGCATCCTTTTTGAAATGTGCGTCCTTTTTCTTTATTTTTTTATATTTTAATACTGACTGAAGGATGATAAGTGTTTGTTTATAAAAGATACATCTGAGGTACCTGGAGCTTGTTTGCCTTCCAGGAGTGAGACTAATCCAGGATAATTCTTACTAATTCTTATTAGGGGAAAATTACTCACCTGTTATTTTTTGAAGAACATAATGGTAATAGATTTCCTTTCCCCTTCCTAGGTGGCCCAATGCTTCCTGCTGCTGCCTAACCATCAGTTCTGTCCCTAAGGAGAGGGGAGAAGGAACAAAAGGCTCAATCCATGATAGCTGTAGTAGGGATCGACGTGCTTCCCCGGCTGGGTGCAGCATGAATTCCTAGGAATGGCAACAAATTCAGCTCAGCTCAGCTGCGGATGAGCACTGCAACTTTCCTTGGAAACTACTGGATTGATCCTCTACCTTTGGCTACAGGTAATTGCGTTGCCTCTTGTAGTTATTTTGGGGTGTTTAGAAGGAGATTGTACTAAGACTAGCAAAAACTGTTGCATCCTCTCTCTTTGTGGTCTCTTCCTTTAGAAATTATTATGATTTATTTTTTTGTTCCAGTTTGTCTTCATGCTTTCTACCTAGCTGATCTGTTACCAGTGTGGAATAGGAAGGGAAAATGAAAGTATACTTTGAGCACATGGCTGTGTTCTGTTCATTTTTATAGCACAGTATCTAGTGCAAGCCATTATTGGAACTGCAGGTGGAAAAGCTGGATGATTTAAGGACTTTAAAATCGCATTTTCTTCCAGCCTGATATAGTTATGGACTGTTAATACACTGGGCTGAACTCTGGAATAGATGCAGCTCAGTAAAAGATAAACACATTCTGGCTGGTTTAGCATGTATTAAGGCATTTTTCTTATGCTCTCTCTTTAATCATTTGACTTTTTTTTTTTTTTCCTCTACATGAAGTGGTACACTTTTAAAAGGTGAAAAGAGACAAGGTAGCAGACGGCTCCTCTAATAAGGGGTCATAAAATTCCCACTGATCTGTTACTTTGGAAGTGCTATCATGCTGCTATGCTTAATGAAAGATCAGTCATGTAAATTGTTCCTGGGATTCAACTTAATTACCTGCAAGAGATGGAACCTTCTGTTACAAAGGCCTAATAAAATATCAGGTGGCTTTAATGAAGCCAGTAAGGTGACAGTTTTAAACTGAAATCTTGCTTAATAATGGAGATGACAGCGGATTTGAGCACGGTATTTTATGGACAGCATGTAATTTCTCCACTGCAAGGTGAGAGTCACAATTTTTAAGCTGTGTTAGTGAGAAACCCTAAGTTCACTGTCAGTGTTTTTCCTCTAAGCCTCAGACTACATGGCCGACACCTGGAGAAGATTACCTATTGAAAGATTATTTTAGCCTGAAACTTGGCATACAATAACTGGGGTGATTTCTCTTAATACTTGTAAAGGAAGCCACTTATCCAGATAAATAATTGAAATCTGGAGGTGCTTCAGGATAACATGACTGCGACTGTTACTAAATATTGAAACGTTAAACAAGTAAAGATGCTTAAAATTTTAGACCTTTAATGTGACTAATTTTGTAATCATTTGGATGCCTTCCTGTACATTTTCAATGACATATTTGGAATTTGGAGAGTAACTTGCCTTCCCTACCACTACTGCCAGTTTTGTGTTATTTTAATTTATTTATTTAATGAGAGTATTCCAGTTCTATTTGCAAATACTGAAACTTGTAGATTGTTTGAAGCACTTGTGCATATTTCCATTAACAAAGGGCAGCAGGCCATCACCTGAGGCTGCTTTCTGGAGAATAATGAGCCTGATGCAAGCAAGCTGCTGGTTCAAAGCTGTGAACAGGGGACCCCCTGACACACACGCTCTGGTGTCAGTCTCATGGATTTGATCAATGCTACTTTCCATTTAAAAGAGGAAATTAATTGTTTTACTCCAGAGAAAGGCCCGGGTTGATTCAGTCCATGGCAGGCCAGCACCTGACTTGCATGGAAAGGGAAGAGCCACTGCCACATCTTCCTGGTGCTCTGCTGCTGCCTTGGCATGGGGCGATGCTGCCTTTTATTTTGTTTCCCTCTGCAAAAATCAATAGGCAAGTTCCATCAGGACCCCTGGTGAATGTCAGAGGACTTGTGCTTATTTCTCTGTTTCTTTCACAAACGACCCAAATATTATGTAAGCATTCTTTGCCCCCCTGCCTGCAGGCTTTTCCCACCAGCCTGACAGAGTGACTGACTAGGGATGGGGGTTGGAGGTATATTTGCTGCACATGGAAGGAAGAAAACTCAATTTTCTACACCTTCTGCCTTGAAACTAAAGATTTGTGTGTCAAGCTTTCTCTGCTGCTTACCAGAAGTATTGAGAGATTTCCATTCCTATTCCCCCAGCTGGCATCCTGGGTTTGTATCTTTTCTCGTTGATGAGAGCAGAGTGCTCTGTGGACTGTTGGGTGGGAGAAAAATGAGGTACGGTAGCGTTTCTCGTACAGAAAGCTGTATGCCAGGAAGAGCAGAGCTAAAACAACTTTTATTATTATTATAATATATTTTTTTAAGGTAGGGCCAAGTCTATGCCCAGCAGTTTTGAATGTAGTAGAAAGCAAGATAAGTTGGTGGACTGTGTAGAGTAAGACACGGGAGGAATTTCTGCCCCTCTGCTTCTGTTCTGGACACTTCCTTGCCCTGGAGCTGCAAGCAGTGTCATTTAAGATAAGCATTATTACTGCAGTTAGCCATCGGTGTCTCGTGTTCTGCATGTTCAGTGTCTGGATGTGGCTGAAAGTGCTCCTGACGGCAGAACTCGGGACCATACTGTCTCAGTCTGCCCCTTATCTCTGCGTGAGCTGAAACTTGCAATCCTGATGCAAGCTGTACCCACGCAGTGGGGTGCGGGGAGGATTAATGGTTCTGAATATTGGACAATGACAAGTCAGCACTGTGTGCTATTGGTGTGAGTCAACTTTGAATCCTTGCCAAAGATGGCTTTTGCAAACAAAATTTAGCACTAATTTGTCAATGGGTTAGTTTACAATATGATGTAAAGCACTCAGTCATATAATGAATCCTTCTGGATTGAAAGAAAAATGCCCATAATGACTTTTATTATAAATAAATACTATGGTTAAGTGGACAAAATCGATGTAGGGTATTTCTGTGTTTTACCACTGACAGTTCGCTACATTCCTTACTACCTGTGTCTGCCTGGGAGGCCGAGAGGGGTTTGATGAAGATTTTATGTTTGTTGTTGTTTGTTTTTTTTCTCCTAATTTTGTCACCTTAACAAAACTGTCAGCGTTTGTTCTTCGCTCCTTGCTGTGCGAGTGCCTCAGTGAGCCCTGCATCCAGCCAGGTAGCGCCCCGCTGTTTCTGCAGCTCAGAGAGCCTGTGCATCCGCAGCCCACCCGGGCAGCTCTGCTCCCTGCTGCTCCCCAAATGCAGCCAAACGGCACCAGGCCAGCATCGGCAGCACAGCAGCAGCTCTCTACCCCCTCTCCCCCTTCTCTTCTGCGTGCCATGCTCTGCTTTTTTTTTTTTTTTTTTTTTTTTTTCAGATTATTGTCCCCATGACAAAGATGATCCATCTGTTTTCTGCTTTCTGGGGTCGAGACCAGGTTGAGGCCAGGGCAGCTGTGTTCCCCCAGCTTTCCCCAAGTGCCCCCCTCTCCCTGCACGTTCCCTTCGCGTCCCTTTCCTGCAGCCTCTGCACGGGGCTGACCCAGCCTCAGGGGCACCCCACGCCCTGCGGTCAGCAGCGGGGGGAAGAAACCTGCCAAATTTGAAGGAAATGAGGGCAGGTGCCCCCTGCCCTTGCCCTTCTGCCTCTTCCCCGGGGTTCCTGCGGGTGCACCTGGCTGGGGGCGTTGTGTCCCCTCTGCTCTGCGGTGGCATCCCCTGCCCGAGGCTGCCACCAGCGCTGGGATCACACCAGCAGGACTCCAGCGGGGCAGGGGCCGGCTCCCCGGGGCGGTCTGCACCGCACCGAGCATCTCACGAAGCCTGGGGGGGGGCCGAAGGAGGGAAGGAAAGGACCGGGGGGGGGGGGGAGCCGGGGCGGGCTGGGCGCGGGGCTGCGGGCGGTGTCGGCGCCTCCCCGGGGCGGTGCCGACAGCAGCGGCGGCGGCGGCGGCGGGGCCATGGTGAAGATCGGCGTCCAGCAGCCGCCCGCGGCGCTCAAGCCCGAGCAGGAGAAGGAGAAGGCGGCGGGGGGCGATGGGGCGCCGGGCGCCGTGCTGCTGCCGCCGGGCACCGTGAGTGCGGGGAGCCGCGGGGGGCTGCGGGGAGCCGGGGGCGGTGGGTGGGTGGCCTCGGGAACGCTTTGCTGTTCGGGACCCCCCCCCGCTCGGCAGGTCAGGGTCTGATCTACGCCCCTGCCGAGTTTGGGGTTTGCTCCAAGGGGCGCGCTGAGGGTGGTGGTGGTGTGTGGGTGCTTGGTGAGGTCCCGGAGGGTGGGGAGGGGGCGGTGTGAAGCTGAGAGGCTTCGTGGATGAGGGGTGTTGGAGCGCGTCCCTCTGGTCCGGGCTTCTGCCTGGGGAATGTGGTTGGGGTCTGGCGGTCACAGCCGGATTTCACGCCGTAACAGCTCGGGAGGCTCAGGGTTGGCATGGAGAGGAGAGGAGGTGATGGGAACGCGGCGGCTGGCGCTGGAGCAGGATGAGAAGCAAGGGCTGAGAGCGCAGGCAGCTCTCTTTGGATGCTTTGCAGGCTCCGGGGTGGGAAATGATGAGCAGAAGTTGGGTTTGCTGGCTTCAGGCAGGGGGTGTCAGAGAGGACAAGGGGCAGAGGCGTCAGGGCAGCCCCAGCAGATGCCGAGAGCAGCCGAGGCCCAGGGCAGGGACCCCTCCAGCCCCAGCAGTGTGCGGCTGGTGCCCCTCTCCAGGAGGGAGCGGTCGCTGCTGGATGGTGTGGCCGCTGTCCTGCCCGGCCAGGGCTGAGCATTTCTGGAAGGTCTCTCCTGCTGGTAACCCCCAGCTGCCAAGCTCCTCTGGGAGGTCAGACCTGCCAGGGTAGGCAGTGCTTTGGGTAAGGGTGAAGACTCTGACCAGAGAGCTGGGCCAAGTCTGTCTTGTTCCAGAGCTTTGATATTAGAGGATGAGGTTTAAACAGCACTTCTGGATTCCTCTTAAATGCTTCACACTACGCACGCAGTTTGATCATTTACAGAGCCCCAGTATCTCACTGACCCAAAATCCCCACGAGGGGCTGTGGCTGTGCTGTGTTGCTGCAGCACCGCAGAGCATCCCTCCTCATGTGCCTTGCCAGGGGAGCAGCAGTTACCTGCCCCAGAGAGCCAATTGCAGGATTGCCAGCAGGCTGCTCAGCTGTAGGCAGGGTTCAGGGAGTCACCTCCATCACAGCGACCTCTCCCATCACGCGCTGGTGTGCTCGCAGCACACTGCCTGTGCTGTCAGGGTCTGAATGTGCTCAGTCTGTCGCCGTTGCACCTATTAATGTAGCTCCTAGAAGCTCTCTGGAGACCTGTAATGGGGAACGTGGCCAACTGTGTTCTCTCAGTGATTTCCAGACTGGGTCTTTTCTTGTTACGAACAAAAGAAGGTGGTAGGTTTCTTCCCACCTTTGATGTCAAGCTCTGAAAAGGCAGCCTGAGAGTTGAATGTCATGCTGGACCTCGAGCTCACGCAGCCAACAAACTAGCTCCCTGCAGCTGGGAACTTGGTCTTTCTGCTGATCCTGCACAAGCTCAGGCAGGATCTGGCTCCTTCTCACAAGCGGTGTGCAAACAGGAGTTTAAAACCAGTAAAATAAAAAAAAATAAAAGTAGCAGAAGCTTATTTCCATTGTGAGTGCTGCCAGATCCCAGCAATCAAAATTACTCTGATTCAGGTCCTGCTGGATGAATGGAATTGTTTTAAGTAGCAAATTATATATTTGGGGTTCTTGTCATTGCCTTGAGCGTTTCTCTGACTCCTGGGGAGCACTGTGTTGTTCTTTTAAGCCCACAAGAGCTACAGAGGAACTTAAAAATATGAATTTAAAACAAAGGCTTTTCAACAGTTCCTTAATTTCAGCAAATGGGCTTGTGAGGAAATCAGCATCAGAGCATGACAGCAGAGCAGGAGCAGGTTGTGGTGAGTTGGTGTAACAGGAGGGTGTTCGGGGAGCACAGCCACTGACAAGGTGGCCCCTTCCTGATGTTATTTTTCAGGGTATTTATGCCTCTGGTTTCTTCAGTAGTGGTCTTTTGGGTGTAGTTTGTGCATAGCTGGACCGAGAGGGTGTTGCTCTGTGAAACATCCGACCTGCGAGGCTGATCTCTCAGGAGTCAGGCTTTCTAGCCATGCTCTCTCCTGCTGCCAATAATTCCTGTCTGTGTGTGCCTCGCTCTAGCTGCCTCGCAGCAAAATGGCATTGGTGACATGCAAACAAGATGCTCTGCATTCCTTTCCTCTTTGATCTCACAACTTCAATCCCAATGATAGGAGCGGGAGCTGGGAAATGATTCAGCGGCAGCTTCCACAGCCTGTGCATTTTGGCAGGTGCTTCGTAAATGCAAAGATGCGGCAGGCAGGAAGATGTCTGTGGTACTAACGTGTCCTGAAAAGTGGTAGGTGAGGAGCCCTGACAGCAAGCTTGCACGTGATGAGCCTTGTGTTTCTCTGCTGTGCACCTCCCTTTGAATTGGAAAGAACGTGCAATCCGGACTCAGCCAGAAAATCCATGTGATTTTGAGGCAACTGCAACATTTTAAGGGCTTATACCAGAAACAGTCTTGCTGCCATTAGTAGAAGCTGGGAGGACATAGCAGCCTCAAGCAGAAGGCAGTCTGAGGTTATGCAGTCAGTAAAATAATTTGTTGTATTTATTGGAAAATATTTTCTTGGATGCAAAATAGTATTCAGTGAGTTTTAATTGAACTCCAGATTTAGAGTCAGGAGTGGAAATACATATATCTGCTGTATCATTAAAGGCTCTGGGATACACGCTCCATGTGTTTGTGATTCATTGTATTTCATTAAAGTCTTCTGCTTCGTGAGGGGTGAATGATAAGAGCTGGAGGGAAGAGACTTTTCTCACCCCCCTCGTTCTGTACGTAACAGACCAGCTGCTCAGCTCCGTGCCAAGACCCCTGCTGAACGTGCCTCCCTGCTGACCTGAGGGCAGCACCTCTCACAGCAAGCACAACACCACAGGCTCGGGGCCCGTGGGGACCAGGGCAGTTTGCTGAGGATGAGGAGATGTCTGTGTGCGTCAGGGGATGCTTAAAGCTTTGGGGAGAGGAAGCAGAAAGCCAAACCTGTTGTTGTGAGTCTGGAAAAGGCTGTGCTGAGACAGTGCATGCAGTCCTTCATCTTCTGCTTGCTGGGAAGGTGAATGTGGAGGGAAGGACAGTATTTTTGCTCAGGCCCTGGCTGCTAGCTTTGCCTGGTGGGAGCAGAGGGCTTGGTGACCGAGGCAGGAGGGTGGGCAGAGCTCTCCCTGCCTGCAGATGCTGTCGAGCCCATGGGAACACCTTGGCAGCAGGTCAAAGCGCGAGGGTTTGAGGGGCTTTCCAGGATGCACGCAGCAATGCCCTGTGGGTGTGATTGATGTTTCACTGTTGGCTTCAGTCACAGATAGCTTTGATTTCATGCCTTTCATCTCATCTGCATTCCCTGAGACTCTTCCTTTTGGTGGGCCCTTCCTGTAAAGTCTGGGAGGCAGAAAATGCTGCTCGCAGGGACTGGTTTGCTCCCACAGCAGGAGCCCTCCAACCCTTCTGTCTGTCTGTGTGGTCTCTCTGTAGGCCGTACATCAACCCAACTATCTAGTGGGGTTTCTCAGCCTCCTTGCAGCGGGGCTGCCCCAGCTTGCACCCTGGTGTCTTGGGATATTCCTGGCCTTTCCCAAGCCCTCCTGGATCCACATGGGCTGAAAAGATTGTTGTCGCTTCAGTCTCCATTTGCCATGGTTTGGGGGTGCTGGGGACTGAATTGGAAAAACATCTCTGGACCCCTACAGGATCTGCTGTAGTGAAATGTGAGACTCCAGGCATTAATATTTGATAATCCAGCTGAGCATGACAAAGGATCTGGCTAAAACTGGAAGGGAGATTAAGAGAGGGAATGACTGCTTCTAGCAGAAAAGTTATAAATGGGACTGA